CAAGGATGCATTTTAACTGGATTTATGTATCAAATGGACTTAAGGGAGCGACCATACTTTACTTTTCTCACTCTTTACCTCAATGGTCACTGCACCCCAGTGTCTTTCTGAACGTTTATGCTCGATAATTTATTTAAATTTTACACTGATGTTACTTATCAAACCATTCATCTCGGCAGACGTTCGATACATGACCCAGACATATTTTGTTTTCATCATATTCACCTCAACCATCCTACGGGACGTGTCAAGCACTTGCTTTTATCCCGTAATAAATCACTGTTCATTGTTCATGGACACTTGCTACAAGCCCTGAGAGCCTGTCCTTACGTAGCATAGCGTACCATGGCCACAGGTGAACACATGTGAGCGTTTTAACTGAGGCATTACGTGTTGCTGAATTTGGCCGCGCAGTATAACTCCCGTGTGAACGGATACACACCAGCCATTCACATACTTCGCCAAAGTTCGGTTTGCGTCAGTGGGACACTATTATTGCATGTGTGACCGGCCTCAGGGAATTCATGTCAGCATTGCTTTGTCCCTATGCCGTCACAGTCTCGCACACCACCGAGAAATAAACTGTTTTTTACAACAGTTATTTCTCTCCAATAGTTTGAATAACACAATGAGGAGACGATCACTGATAAATGCACGCATTTCGTATTGTCTCATCAGTACCAATACAATAACTAGTAATTATCTTATACAGCCCCAAGGGTGTTCCCAATCAGGGAAATGCCGTGAGATGAACGGCGGCAATCGTCCTAGGACCGGGGTATTCGTAGGTCAAAAACGGACTGTTTCTGCACTCACAGGACAGGTCTTAGCTGGCTTGTCGTCACGGCTTAGGCGAACCGTAATAAGCGTGGATTAGGATTACGTAATAGTAGCCGAAATGTGGAGCCGGTGTCAAGCAGATAAGGGGTCAATAAAACATGTTCACGTTTGCGTGCACACGGAATATTGGACGCGAAATGGCTGACCTCACCTTGAACCCATTTGGTCCGGGGTTCATTCACTCTGGAATTCAAAACCCCCCTCATTCTTGCTTATCTAACTAACGCAACACGGATAATCGGATTAGTGAGTATTGTGTGATTTGGCGCTGATAGGTTCAACTTCCTATGCTGTTTATCACCACAGCATCTGTAGCACATTACATTATCTGAGAGACGTAGAGGAAGCGCTTGGTTGCCCTCGTTGAAGCGGGGTTACCCTTAAATGGGAGGTCGAGGTATACATTTTCCTTAGGTGTCGTCAACACCGTAACAAGCCAACTTTCCGGGGCGCGTTGTCGGTCTTAAGGATAATTAGATTAAAGTCGGCATTGTTGACTGATATTGCGTTAAACTACACGTCCATCCGTGAAAGGCACAGATGGATCGCTCGGTTAAACCACCAATTTGTTCATTTTGTAGCAGCAGACTCCTCCCCCTGATACCTGGCCCTTCATTTCCCACTGTGAAGTGACTGTTAATATGCCCTCCCTAGCCTCACTGTGTGATCTGTAAATGTTGGGCACATGTTAATTGTCGCCAGATATGTTTGGCACTGCGTTATTTCCTTTTTCGTATTAAATTATGAACTTTCGTTTACTGCACCTGGGTCACATGCACTTCAAACCTGACTATTGACTATGTCGCACTTATGCCAATTATTGTTGCATTATTATTGAAACGTTTGCTTCGCTGAGTGCGCTTTAACAGACGATAACTATGACAGCAAATCGTGGATGCTTCTTCGTGACTATACTCCTGCTCATAACGCTCCGGGCCACCGGAGATTCCTGACTGAGAAAAAATTACTATAATAGAACAGCCCTCATACTCAATTGATATTGTTCTAAGCGACGCTGATATTAAGGAGCATCGTGGAAGAATGCTTCCAGCAGTGCGTCGGAGCGTGGTAAGGCATGACGGAAACCCGCATTAAACTCGAGGGGATTGTGCTGAAGGTGAAGTTATACAGTTGGTTGTTTGCGAGCTACTCGGATTCTATCAGTAATATAAAATATCTATGCGCTGTTGTTGATGTTCATGCTGAATTAAGTCGCCGTTCCACTTGAAGCACCGGTACATGTGTGTGCTCCATCCTCACACCACCACATATTGATTGGATGATGGATGGGTGGCCACTGAGTATTTGTTATTAGCGTCACACATTTTCGCGTACTCAAATGACTTCTAATTGATGAAAAGTCTGGGTAAACTGAAATTTGTTTTCGGTTATTCATCATTAGGCTTTCATAATTACAAGGAAACCAAAATTTGTATGGAGACCCAAGGGGTTGTCAGTCAGCCAAATGATTCTAGTGCGCTATGACAAGCCGTCCGTCAGGTTCCAGCTATAGTCAGACGGTCGCACAGGTAATTTGCAATCCGTCCTGGCTAAGCTAGATTCAACGCGTGAGTGAACGTTTTCTGCTTGCACAGCGCAATTCGTACAACCGAATGGCGATGGTTTCTGTGACGTTTAATATCCACTTACGGAAATACTTTCATCGATTTGCTGGGACCTTTGAACGAATCAGCCGTACTGGTGGCGTGACCCGTGTCCGCGAGATGCGCGGTGATGGCAGAGTTGGTGGCCTTTCGAGCTCCATTTCCGAGCCAGGCCGGATGGTGTTCCCTCAACCTTTCGTATGAGCACCTAGTCGTACGACCAACGTAAACTGCTCCACAGAAAGAGGCGAAGGAATAAACACACACTGATTTGGTGTGGACAGGCAACTTATCCTTGAGATTTAGTCTCACCATTGGGCTACCGGTGAACCGGATCTGCATCTTCGCGGCTAGGAAGGCATTCCGGAGTGTGTACGAGAGACGGCAAGATAGATACTCTGCTACTATTTTCTCTTTGTAAGGCAGTTGCACGAAAATAGGTTTCCGTTCCGCCGTCAGGACTGTAAGTGCCTCTCTCTTTCGCCCCATATTGGCATTATTAAAATTCTCTGGGTAGCCGTTCTCGTTAAGCGTCCATCGTGTGCGCTGACCAGTGGTTTCGACATCGCATGTTTCCATCCCATCAGTTTAACTGCCTCTCATTGTTGATGGTGATACACCTGGAACGATTGTGGTTTCTCCAATTCCATTAACTGCATATTGTGTAAGAGTAGCGTTGATGTCTCGATCCAACGTGTTTTAATTTTAGGACCATTAGCCACACGTAATTCGCCGTTCGACCGGCGAACGTTAAAAGACTCAACACGGAAATGTAACTGTAGGGTTAACTTGGGACTTGGCGTGGTGCTAGTCACACACACAACAGAAGAAGTAGAATAAAGTTCGTAAGTTTTAGACCGAACCAGGTGTTTCACCCGCATACAGTTCACTGCAGTTGGTTTTCGGTTGGTTTGAACTTTATTGTCTTTGTGATTGCTGCCTTTTAGTGGGAGGTACCATAATGGTGTGCGACAACTGTGCTCTGTCAAAGTGAGAAGTGATCAGGGGTACTAATGCAACCTGCGAGTCGATTTGAGATCATAACCTAACGGCTAAGTTTCTAAGCGGAGGGAACAAAAATTGTCCAAATCCTTACTAAGGTTTTGAGACTGAATGTGTCGGTCTTCTCATGATTGGCCTAACTGACTCAAGAAGATCACGGAAGCATGCAAATAATCGCGCTGGTCTCGTCATGATGGGACACCTCAAATGGGTTCAGCTGACTTAGAAGACGGCAACAAGGCACTGAAATGGCTCAATTGTTGTTTAAAACGTTCGGATCAGTTTTCAATGCAATGGATTCAATAACGGACCAACCGTTCAGCATTCTCAGCTATACGTCTACTCAATGAGGCTTGTGTTGTGGGTGCCGAGTTAACGCTCGGCTGCTCGCAACAGTATTGGTCCCAAGTGCCACACCAACCCTCACTATCCTGGATGTCCTAAGTCAAGTTTGAGCACCTAGTTAGACGATATTAGATGAGCCGCTGTAAGCTTAAAATGGTCGCCCCATGGTATAATTTTTACGCTGATAATTTTAAATGACATCTCAAAAACCCATCAGATGCTCGGACGCCTCAAAGTCTTGTCCATAATGCCTAAGAGTCGCCGCATTTGGTATCCGGCAAACTCTCAGGATGACCGGTGATAACTGAGATTCTAAGTCTCCTTCGCATTGAAGCTTCGTGCATCTTGAATAAGCTTCGAAAGTTGAGAACCTCGGATATGAGATGAGAGGCTGGACCTCATAATACGTGGCCGGAGCCTAGATAGGTGCGTCAGACAAGCCAATAGCCTGTGATAAGACACACCACGTATAGTTGATGGTCAGGTGTTCAATTCTGGTTCAGCGCAGCTGATCGTTCGGTTGGTAGCAACTGACACGATGACAGTTGCGCAGGGGTGACCAATTGTTTCGGATGGTTTGGATATAGCGAGTCAAACCACTGGCCAACCAAATATTAGTCTGCTTCAATTCACTTGAAGCTGCAAGTGGACATGTAAGCGATGTCCACGACTGGTTGTGAGCGCCAAGTGCTGTCGGAGTGGGCTTATAGTTTATCGGCGGTTGTGTACACGTAGCAGCTACAAACTCCTTGTGCCACACTTGATTATGAAACCTTGGTAACAAGAAGTGGTTGCAACAGAGTGAAATCAATCTTCCTATTCAACTTCGCCTTGAAAGACATCCTTGAGTTGTGCAGAGAACTGCGATCGCAGTGGCTTCGAATCATCTCCAGGAAGCGACTACCCACCCGGAGTAGACTGACGATATTGCTGTAATTTGTTTGTCATCGGAAGCCGCTCGAAACAGGCTGCGCAGGTTGGAGCTATCTACATCGCAATTCGGAATGACGTCCACCCCTTCCACGTGCGAGGGGCATCTGTAGGACTGCTAGATGTATACACTCATTTTTTGTGTTGGTCTTTAGGAGTAGTAGATAACTTCGTTTGCCTAGGAATGTCCCTAAAAATTCACGATATGAAGGATGAGGTCTGTTTGCGAATTTCCAGTCAACCTCACCTGTGGCGCCGATGTGAATTTAGCCCCTATCTGGAACACCGAGTCTACCATAATGCTACTGTACGAGTAGTTATACTCTATGGTTGTAAGAATTGGCCCGTTCGTGCGAAAATGAAGCAGATTACCGATATAATAATGATACGAAATAACACGTCTTCACTGAGTATGTCACACGTTGGACAGAGCGGAAGGTAAGTAGAGATAAAAATGATAGGTTTAATAATAATAATGTGCCAGCTGTACGCCGTAACGGCGCTTCGCTGCCGTGCGACCACCATCAGTCGCACGCGGGCTGAGTACACCGCGAGGAAGCCACCCCTATGCGGATTAGAACCTGCGCCGCAAAATTACGAGACAAGCTTGTTAGTTCTAGGCTACGGGCTACTAAGTGATAGGTTTAAGAGACGAGTGTACAACTATCATCGAAATCTTTCCCAAGTGGTACAACGGGGATAAGGTGACATTTCGAAGCATGAGTTGTGGCTGCAAAAATGTCTCAATGGAAATGTGTAGATATGATGAGCATAATCATTTGGGTCAATAGCGGATAAAAGCGAAGAAATGATCAAATGACTAGGAACAGAAGTTCCATTGTATAAACAGAGAGTAGTGCAATAGGAAGAGACGGGATGGAAGATGTCACTCGAACACTGGTCTCTCTATGTGGATGGTGATCCAAAAGATCAAGAAGTATGTAGCTGGAAGGTTCGCAATTAGCAAGGCATGAACAATGTCCGTGCGACCAACCAGAAGGATCAGAAAGACAAATGTGTGGCAAACCACATGTAGAACTGAGGGTTAAACGCATGTGGCACACAATGCCAGTTGACCAGGTAGAATATCCCGGCAAGGACAAAAGCGGGTGATGGATGCTGTCGGAGTGCTGGTGCAATCGAACCAAAAACGGCTCGCCTGAAACACACAACTTTGCGCAGCGGAGTCCCAATGGGGAGCTGTAGTGCTATTGAGAATAGAGATTGATGGACAGCTAAAATTTAGCAGGCGCTCTAAATTGAAACGATTGTTCACGGTGGAAAAGTGTTCAGGGGCGCATCGAAGATTATTTTCACTTTCGAGTTGATTAGCACCAAGGAAATGCAAAGATCGACGGCGCAGATATTCCGATGTTATTGGATGCAAAGAGGATGGAGTGAGGATACTGACAGTAGAACGTCCGCGCGCCATGCAGGCTTCGGTGCAAGACTGTCCGGGCATCGCAAAGATGATACGAAGGGCAGTGAGAGGAGGAGGCCACATGACCACGTTGCGGTTCACTTCTAAAAGGTTAGTTCGAAAATGACCGTCGTTCATGTCTGGTAATGGTAGGGGTGATTGCAAGAGACCAAGGCTCGAGGGACTATCACAGAAACGTTGATGTTGAAGCAGCGCGTTGAGGCGCTCAATAAACCCAACGGCGCTGAATTCGAATATTGGAAATGGTCTGACTTTCTGGGAGGGGAAGAACATAAAGGGGTGAATGGATGATCGAGAGCGCATCAAAGTTGTTGTGACCGGACTACAATGTAAAGAGGTCAAATTAAAGGACATTGCTCAGCTGGGTAGTAATTGGTCAAATAACACAAGCACACCACAAGACAAGTGTCTCAACGACTCACGACAGAAAAGTTAGCATTTTTACTAAGTAAATGAAGCGGTGTTGTTACAAACTTCAAATGCTCCATACAAGTAACGTTTTAATTCGACTCCGCAAAAATACTTCTGGCCAACTGTTATTTATATTCGAACTGATAACACTATAGACGTCAGCAAGGTGGATGCCGAAGCCAGTGGAGAGTACCTCATCCGTGCCTTGGGTTTGAAAGCACTGCAATATCCGGACCGAGTTAGACGCTAAGCTATCCGTATCCCCTTTTCAAGGTGCTTTTCTGGACTAGGTTTCGCTTTGTAGCTTGTGAACTACTGGGATGAAAACCACAACAAATTACAACTAAAATCTTGCTGCTTACGAGTAATATACAATAAATAGCCTCTCCTGGTTTCAAAATGCTATGGATATAGCGTCTAGTGAGAGGACGTCATCATCTCGCAGGCTAACCACTGTCAGTGACAGTGGAAGATAGGTGGTGCTATATTCCAGTTAGTTTGCAAATTATGTAGCCCAGCCAACGTCCCCCTTGGCTCAGTGGCTTAAGCTGCTGGCTAGTTGGCATCTGCCTCTAGTGGTCATGGGTTCGATCCTCCTTAGAGGACCGAGGGAATGCGCACCACTGACGAGCCCCAATAGGGCGAAACGCGTCTGGTGCTTTTCCGGACTAGGTTGCGCTATGTAGCTTGTGAACTACTGGGATGAAAACCTCGACAAAGGTACAACTAAAATCCTGCTGCTTACGAGGAACTTATTTAATTAGTTAATAAAACACGATTGACAGTTTTCAGAAAGCAAATAAATGGTTGGTATCTGATCATAGCTGCGGTACACAATACAACTAAGGCGGTCCGAAGCCTTGAGGATCACAAGCCTATCTTGTAATCTAATGGCACGGGTTCGAACCTGCCTAGGGACCGGGCAACCCTGGCAGTATCCTTAGCCCACGTGCGACTGGTGATGGTTGCGCGGCAGCAGTGTCAGTACTGCGTACTGGCGCACTGCTGGTGCATTTTGTCATTGCCTACAATACAACTTAGTAGTTTGGAAAAGCGGCATGTGTGAGGCAGGATACAATCGTACAAACCAACGCGGAAAATGAAAGTTGCATATCAGAAAAGTTAACAGCGTTCGACAGATATGCAAACAAAGTGGATTAGAGACCGCCGCAGAGATTTGTATATTCGATCTTCGTATTTACAGTATCCTGCTGCACCAAATAGTAAGCAGAAGAATCTTACATCGAGATTGGATAGCAGACGGACCATAGTCTGTCGTACATCCGATTCATTGTGCATATTCACCAGGTAAGAGTACGGTTCACCAACGTACTGTTCCAAATAAGGTTGTTGACTTGTGACCTGTCCAGTGAAAAAACAAGCAAGAGTGGAGGCATTGAAAGAATTGGGAAAACATTACCAGGGGATCATCGATACAAATGCATCGCGTCACGATATGTCAATATGTGCACGCATATTTAGACCGAACGCACAGTTAAGCAACTGCCATCAAACGTGAGTATGTGGGCCGCACTTGATGCTTTTGGAGCTTATTCGTAGTACGCACTTACACGATTCCATTGCAAGTCAATCTAAGATCCAACATTTAACATAACCCAAGGAAGATAAAGCACAGGAGTAGTCAAGGAGAAACAGCCTGCTCTTCACTATCGACACGGTTCCCAGTAAAAGAGCGAACTGTAAAGAGAGACTTCGTACAACGCAGCATCAATAGGGAGTACAGCATGGTGTTGAAATCGCGTCGCAGTTGTTCATGATTTAACTTGAGTCAAATGCACCTTGAAGGAGTCAGTGTGAACGTGAAGTAAGTAGGGCCAGAAGCAGTAGCAGAGATTGAAATAGTGCAAGGTGATGAGAAGTGAAGACTGAGGGAGAGGCACAGTACGAAAAGATTCAACAACGATGAGGAAGCGAGTTTCACTGAGACCAAACAAGTACTGGACTATAAGTCGAGTACAGTCAAACCTGTCTAAAGCGACCACTCAAGGGACCGATAAAAAGTAGTCCCCTTGGACAGGTGGTCCCCATGAACCGGTTCATGCACAGGGGACAGTACTCATCATGGACTGCATATGTGCACAACGCTTTCAAATGCGAAGTAGATATTTACACAAATTCAAGAATCAGGTATAGTCTACTAATTAAAGCAATAACAGTGGCATTGTGTATACTGTGGGATATATGAGCAACAAAAATGTAAGTTACAATTTACGAGTAAAGAGCAAGCTGCAAATGAGCGTGGTCCACAAGTTGTAGAAAAATCATTCACACACACCTTTTTTCAACAGGTGGAAAAAATCAAGTAGTCAGTTGCTTTGCAGTTGAAATAAGACATGGATTTTCGCTGGCGTTCATGATAATTTCAAGCATGTCAATGAGTCCTCTGTTTATTGCGTACGAGCGCCTAGTATCAACAGCACCCTGTGCGTCTGTGAATGTATAATTTGTCAGAACGTCTGTATAACCTTGTTCTTGCTAGTCAACTGATTCACTATCCACATCAGCTGTTAAAATGGAAGTGGCAGGAAGGTCCAAGTTTATTTCTGCTGAGTTACAAGGTTGAAGATTAGAATCGAAATCGGGACTGTCAGTAAGTTGACATCCGAGCAATTCCTTTGAAAGATCATCCAATGCAGCAGGAGTTGTAGGAGGTACAATTTGATAGTCTTCCTTAGGCAATTTATATTGCTGTCCCAGTGTCTATGTAGGCATGATAAGGAGACCATGCTTTATTAGAGCACTTAGATAGCATTGGGATTTTCACCGCCTTCCATGCGGCAGCGCTCCAGAACGACGTCCAAAAAAAATTTACTCGCTTCATGACTTCAGTTCTGGACATAACTTTGTATCATTCCATGATAGAAATAAGATGTAGGAGCTATATTTTCTTAAACTTTAATTTTAATGCTTAAGTAACACCCTGGTCGATGGCTTGATCTAGCGCAGTGGTGTTAGGTGGCAGGAGTTGCATTTTGACGCTCTTCATCTGGATTCCGGGATGGCAAGTCCCATTGTTAACAAACAAAATGAGGTTGCGGATTTTTGCTGCATTTTCTACCAAAGATTTTAAATCAATCTACAAAAAGATTGCAGTCATGCATGCTTTTCTAGTATTCTTTAAATTACCGGTAGTTTTTCATGTTTGTTTAGAATTCGAGGGTTGGCTGATTCCCCGATCACTGAGGCCGGTCCTCGCTCCCCTAGCATGTTAGTACACGACATAACTGCGATTCGCTCCCTGCCTCCTTTCCACCTGTGCATTTTTCTTCTATGACAAAAAATGTTTCATGCCAAATAAAAATGTCTTCAGCTGCGTAACCAGAACATATTGCTAGTACTTTTACTGTCGCGTTTGATGCAGCGCACATATCTGAGTCACCGCTTTCGCCGAATTGCTTACCAAACATAAGAATGTCCCTATTGATGAAAGCCCGTAGAAAACCGTTTGATGCCTTCAAGACTGAGCTTTTCAATTATTTTGCAAAGTACAAGCTCATTCTTGAATCATTGGTCCGGATAATGAAATCATTGTTGCAAGTGCAGGCGGGCAACATTTCCTTCGAAGTGTGTTGTCTTTATTTCCCGTTTTCTGTCACACCTTTTCAGTAATAATGCGTGGTTTCCAAAGTTATTTAAAAACACGGTATTCCCTTGAAAGTTCGGAAGATTTGTGCCTCTCCTATTCCGAAGTGTTCTGCCAATGTTCAGGAATGTTTCCTTCTTGACTTTGACGAAACACTGCTATTCTTTCTTTAAGTGTTAAGGTCTTAGCTTTGCAATTTCGGAACTAACCATTTTGTCCTTTGTCAGACTCATAAACGGGAAAATGTTCCGTTCGAAATTGACACAGAATACTGTAGTTGCTAGTTATATCCAGTAATTCATACGGACCACGTGATCCGCCTTGTGCTTGGTTCGGGACGTTACAGGACATGTCTCGGAAGTCGACACCGTTGGCGTGTCTGCTGTTGACTCCCAGTCGGATTGACTGTTTAAAGTGTGTTCGGTGCTAAGTTGTCTGCGCGGCAATGACTGGTTATGACGCGGAGCAATGAAAGGAACCTGTTTCACTGATGCGCCTCAGCTTTACATGATAGACAGCTGCCTGTGACGGTACGTTGCTCGCACAAGGTATTGGTGCCTTAACTCCGAATGACTACTTAGAGAATTAAGGATCTACGCTACGTCCCCTTCTCTCCCTGTTATTATTCTTCGTTTTGTATGCCACGGTGGTAGTACGGCAGCGAAGCATCACTTCAAATGGCTGATGTACTGTTGTTGTTGATGATGAGGAAGTTGTATGGACTGAATGCGCGCACGACTAAACAACAGCACACAGTTTCCATTTAGTGCCCGGGACTTACCGATGTGTACATTTGCGAACAAATCACACTCACTAAACACCGATATACACTGCACTGTTGTCTAGTCTTGCTAGCCAGACACAATAAAAGCATGACGAGCGGTCATTTATGATATCTCCAGACGAAATCCAAGGCATCTGCGCGATACGGTGACAGACTTCCTTGACAACACAAGACAAAATTGCAGTCAGTCGTGCTATTGATGGTCGCTTTTTACAGGTGCTAGAACGTCCGAGGACCCCAAAAAGGTGGTCGCGGTTGCGTTAGACAAATTAAGAGCAATGAGAAAATGTGGGGATGTTTTTGACTGGTCACCATGAGCAGGTAGTCCCCATAGCAGGTTGGAATGTACTAGACAATGCGAAATTTGGGTCAATGGGAGACTTGCGTTTGAGCCCGTAAATCTACTATGTAAACAAACGATGGAGTACGGCGGAGGGCATTCGATGACTTGGGATTTGGCAATTGGGGGGGTGGAGAGACGGGAAATGTCGGCTCAATCATTAACTGTCTTTGATGTTTGGGGTGGCTGCTAAATCTTGCGTTGCACATGAAGGCGACCGAGGGGTTCAACTGTGATCCGTGTGCCGAAGTGCGATGGATGCAGTAACAATGATGTAAACAGTCAAAGAGATAGTGATGTACAGTAGTCGTCTCACAGAGTGTGGCAGTCACAAAATGCTCTTGAACCTTGATCCAGGTTCCTCCTTTCATTACTCCTTGAAAATAGCCAGATAGGTTTGGAAAAGGAGGAGATAGACCAGGCATGGTAAGAACAGGCAAAAATGTCAAAAGCCCAATGACAAAACCAAGTTCGTCGTAGAATTCTTGACCGCGCCAAAGCTGACAATGCGCCAGGCAAGTGGTGTGGCTTATCCAGAGGGCCACATTTCAAATAACACACAAGAACTCTTGCCAGATTTCTTCCTGCCATATGGCACGCCATAGACTGCGCACCTGGTGTTTCATCCAACCAGAGGCATAAAGGCATCAGCAGTACGCCGGTACACAGTACTGACGCTCGCTGCAGCGCAACCATCACCGGTCGCACGTGGCCTAAGGATACTGCGAGAGTCGCTCGGTCCGTACGCAGGCTTGAACCCGCGTCCTCAGGTTACAAGGCACGCTTGTTATCCTTAAGGCTACGGGTCGGCATCCAGAGGTGGTATAAGCGATGAAAACAAGACGAACAGCTGGTCAAAAGAAGCGAAGAACAACACCTCGTCGGTGTAAGCAAATCGAGATCAGCAGCCATTCTAAATCGGCACATACTAACGCTGGCAGTGCTATGCGCCAATTCCTTCAGCAGATGAATCCAACTTTAAGAAATCGTACTCCATTCAGAAAGTAGAAGGAGAGGAAAGGTCACTTGCGACAGCAAAATTAAAGAGAATGGAAGGATGGGATAACGCTGATGCATTCAACCAGTGGCTTCAAATGCAGGAAAAAGATTCTTGTGGATATAAATGTGGCCTCGGGAGCAGTGTTGTACAAAGTTTAGAACCCACAGAAGTTTCCTTCGTATGCCCTCCAGACACAAATAGGAGAATTCAAGGAGTTGTGAGGAGAATCATTTATTGTAGAATTTAAGTACAACAGATGTACAGAAGGTAGAAATCGGGTAAGCACAGCACAGTGACTCAAGCCGGTCGCACGCTATCAGTAGCAATCAGACATAGATCGGTGAGGAAGTCCGGCACCTCATGTGGCTTGTAGTCATCATCCGTATACATGTCAGTTAGAGGTAGGAAACACCTCAGCTACTGTGTCGCAATACATATACGAAAAAAGGGGAAACATGCAACAGATGTAAGCCAGCTGAGCTACCAGCAACGGATGGGCATCGTTAGGGTAAGCTACCAGCTGGCAACTATGCAGCAAAAAAATTATTATGCAAAATTATATCAGTCTAAGTGGTGAGATCATGGTTGGAGGGGGAGGCTAAGAGGGATGGGGTAGGACAAAGAAACTCACAGC